CCAAAAGTCATAAAATCTTTTACAAAACCAATTCTATGACTAACACAAGTCATTAATTTCACATTATCAAAACCAAAGAAGGAATTCCTTAACTACTCACCTTGCAACCTCAAGAAAAGAGCCAACTTAGCACCACTTTCTTTCAAACCACTTCACCAACAACCTTACTACTACTAAACTAAGAGTTTTTATGGAGAAATTGGAAGTTTAAACGGTTGATTTGCTAGATGGAGCAAGATTGAGGCAAGAAAGTTGAGATTTTTCTTTTCTTTTCTCCTTGAGAGGGCCGGCCAAGAAGCTTGAAATAAAGATGATTTTTGGGTCAATTTTTGGATTATTTAGTAAAGTTGGTAAGTTGGTCAATGTTCAAGAAGAAATAAGAAAGTGACACTTGTCACCTTTTTGGTTTATAGCTATCCCTTTGTCTCTCTAATACTAATCCATCTAGGAAACCTCTAATTATCTCTTAACACCTAAGAAATGAATCCCAATATACCAAACTTAACCTAATTTGCCGAATTTTACCGCACTTACTGCACTAGCGGGTCCCACATCCGGTGTACACTCTTAATTTCTCAAAAACTAACTGATACTAGAAAAATAATTTAAAAACTATATTTACTCATAAAAATTATCTAGAAAATTTTTCTAATAAAGAAAATGTAGAATTAGTGTGCAATTAAATAAAATAAAACCTAGAAAATAAGAAAATTACGGGTTCTCACAACCGTAAATTATGGTATTTTATATAGTGGATTTCCCACTGTACTAGTAGGATCCAGTGATGCTAATTGGATCTCTGATTTAAATGATACAAAATCTACTAGTGGTTATGTGTTCACCCTTAGTGGTGGTGCAATAGCATGGAAGTCAGCCAGGCAGACAGTCATTGCCAGGTCAACTATGGAGTCAGAGTTCATTGCTCTGGAGTTGACTGGTTCTGAGGCTGATTGGTTAAGGAATTTCTTTGCCAATATTCCTTCAAATAAGGATCTGATGCCTCCCGTGTCTAAACATAGTGATTGTCAAGCGGCTATTGCTATTGCTAAAAATAAATCGTATAATTGTAAAAGTCAACACATGAGATTGAGACATGATGTCGTAAAGCAGCTGCTTAGAGATGGAATTATTTCCATTGATTATGTGAAATCAGAGTTGAATTTGGCCAATCCTCTGACTAAACCCGTAGGAAGAAAATTGATTCTTCAAACTTCAAAAGAAATGGGACTTCGACTAACAAGTTGTCAATAGAGACGGTAACCCAACCTATGTAATTGGTGATCCTATGAAGTAGGTTCATATGGGTAATAACAAGTCAATATTAACGGTAAAGCACTTCAAATTTAAGTCCCTCCGGAGACAAGTGCTTTGAATAATTATGAGGATGAGTTAAAACTCTTAATGAATTCATATCCCATTAGGGAGGTGTAGTTAAAACAGCACACACTTGATGAATTCACCTATATGAGAGTGGAGTGGGGCCGCTCCTATAAGATTCATCGGTCAAATCTTTAGAGCTCTCATGAATAACTAGGCAGACGCACGGCTAAAAGGCGCAAAACCGCGTTAACAGCAAATTATGGGTTGTAATGTGATTGATAAAATCTCTGTCATACTTCAAGAGTTATTGGTTCATAGAAATTTATATTTCACCAATAATTCTGTAGGTCACGTTTTATCAATCTAAGTTTGGTTCATAGTCCAAAAGACACCAACGAATTACATTCCACCCAAATGAATCCAGCAGATTATTTTCTTATCTTTTGTCCAAAACCTTTTGAAATAGGAAGGAGATTGTTGTAAAATATAAAAGTATTTCAAAAGTTTTGTCCCACATAGAAAAATGAAAATGATTGCTTTCTCTATCCCATATCGGGAAGTGAGAAAACTTACAGTCTTTGTCCCACATCGGAAGTGAGAAGGGTTGCGCCTCATTCTAAAACCTATAAATAGGTGCTATTTTCCCTTGAAAAAATGCACCACTTCCTCTCCCCCTGACAGTTGATACCTTCCTGTCACCTTTCTTCCAAAATTTCCCATTGACAGTAGATACCTTCCTGTCAGTCCCCTTCTACTTCTTCCTCCTATTACTCTGCTGGATTTATATTTTATTTGCTAGTTCTGGTCCTTTTAGTTTGTAATAGGAAGAAAGTTTGTCTTTCTTGTTCGCAACAAGAAGAAGGTTTGTTTAATCCTGGGGAGACATTTCAATTTCATAAAATAGTTTCTTAGGACAGTGCTACGCACGACTCAAGCAATAGTGTTAACATTGTTGTGGCCGTTTCATCAACAAATTCACATGCATTATTCTTCCCTTTTTGATAACAGAAACAAATAATAAAAAAAAAGATCCTTGGTTCATAGATTCCCCACCAGATTCATGGAAAGAAAAACAAATAAGATGTCAGGGTAATGGAACCGACAACAAGAGTGCAAGAGTTCATGTCCAATGACTTAGATCTTCGTGAAAAACGTGTTAAACCAGCAAGGAGAAGAGTCACGGTTACCTAAGAGTACTTATGTGGTCGATTGAACGTGAAATATGCCCAGAAAGGAGTGCTGATTCCAAGAACGAAGCCAAGAGCTTCGTTGCAGAAAATTGCAGCAATGATGAACCCGATATTTTGGGTCCTGATTTGGGAAGCTCGGAGAGGTTGTTTTGAGGAGATTCCTGAATGAAAGTTCTTGTATTTCATGCTAAGATAGTGCATAAATCAAGAGTTTACTCAAAAAGCTAAGAACTGGGCCAGAATTTGGTGCGAAACTATGCTGGTTTGTCAACCTGGTGATGAGCTTTTGCAGCAAAAATTCTCAGTTTCACCTCTCGCTCGATCTCCCCTCTCTTTTCTTTCTTTTCTGTGTCCCAAGCTCTCTCTTTTCTCCCAAATTCTTCCCTAAAGCTCTCTCCCCAGATTCCTTCCTTTCTCACTTTTCTTTCTTCCTCAGCCAAAACCCTATCCTTCTTGCTTGCCTTTCTCGGTTCTCCCTTTTTTCCTCTCCCCTCGAAAACCCTTTCTTCTTTTCCCCTCCTAGACCCTCTTCCTTTCCAGATTTTTCTCAAGCCTTTTCTTTCTCTGTTGTTCTTTCCAACTCCCCGCAGTCTCTCCTCCTTTTTTTCCTCCCTGTTTTCCCCCCAGCTCTCCCTTCTCTCTTAGTTTTTCTTGCTTTTTCTTTGCTTGGTTTCTCCTTCTGATTCCCGTAGTCTTTCTTGCTTCGTTTTCCCAGCCCAAAGTTCTTTTCTTTCTTTCTTTCTTGTTTGCTCCAACACGACCTCTGTTCCTTCCCCCGCCCCCAGATCTTTCCCGAAACTCACACCAGCCTTTTTTCTCTCTCCAGTTCCCTTCCAGATTTCTCCAAGTTCCCCTCTTTTCTTCTTCTCCAAACCCTATCTCAGTCTCCTTAGCCGCCACTCCCTTGCTTCCCTTGCTTCCTTTTTTCTTGCTTGGTTCTTCTTCCTACTTCCCCCAGCTCTCTTTTTTTCTCCTTCTTGCCCGTAGCTACTTGTTTTCTCTTCCTTTTAGCTGCCAAACTCCCTCTCTTTTCCTTTTTCGTTTTTCCTCTGTCCGTAGCCTTCTCCTCTTTTCCTTTCCCATTTCTCTATTCAGTTTTCTTCCCTTAGCCGAACCCTTTCTCCGTGTCCCTCTCCCCTTGTCCCTGTTCCTTGTTTCCGTAGCCTCTCTCACTTTTCCATATTCTTTTGTTTGTTTTTTCTTCAAATTTTCCTAGGCTGAACACTTGTCTTGCCACCTACCCCCTCCTTGCATGTGGTATCAATAAAATGGGGATACTTGTCCTATTTACATGCACGAACACTTGTCCAATACTTCTCTAATACACTTGTCTAATGCTCCTTTAGCACACTTGTCCAACATGCAAACCTCCACCTATCTTCTTATTTTTCATTTATTTATTATATTTTTGTTTTTCAAAATCAATTTAGGTAAACAAAGAAAAAGCTAATTCCTAATTGAAATTGCATTGCAACATTTTCATTTACTTTAAAGAAATCGAATCTAAGATGATTAAAACATATTTTTGTGAAAATTTTCCTTTTCAAAATTTTAATGCAAAAATATCTTAAAAATAAAAATTATGAACCTAATTTATAAAAACAAGCAAAAATGAATACTAACTATCACTTAATCAATAAAATAAAATAAAATAAGAATAAAAAAATAAAGCTAACATTGAATTAAATAAATGAAATTTTTGGTGTCTACAATTATACTCCAAATATTTAACTACCATATTAATCCTTTTTAAACAAATTTTTATAGTGTAAGTGAGAGGGTTCAAACTCGGAGCCTCTCACTTATACTCACTTTTTATTATAGTCTTTTATAGTTTTTTTTGGTAGTCTTTGTTTTTAAATTTTTTATAATATAAGGAGGAGGGTTAGAATCCAAAATCTCTCCCTTACACTCCCTTTGTCTGAACTACCTATCTTCTCTCTCCTCATGAGTTTACCATATTGGTCTTTAGAAACTTTTATTAATTCATATACAAAGAAATAACAAGCATTCTTCGAGATAAGAATTAAATTTTGTCATACATACTTATTCATTTTCAATTTAAAACAAAAGCAAAAAGTACAATGATCTATTTTTACATAAATGATTTATTAGTATCTATCAAAATTAATAAGTTTACCAATGTAACAGCTAAGTTAACGCAAAGAAAATTTACCATACATGGATAAAAAGAATACTAATTCAAATTTATTAAATAAGATAGGGGTTGGTAGAAGTGAGAGAAATTGCAGATAAAATTGGTTGGAAGAGAACTAGATGCAAAAATGAGTAAAACCAATCATCCATTAATCTATTAATTCTTTTCAATCACGTGTACCACTGAGAGGGAAAGATAATTGTTCTCTTTTCCATTTATCGTTGTAACAAAGATTAGATTTGATGTCAATCAATTAACCAAATCTTGAAGGGTACTTCCGTAACTTCACCAAGAGGCAGGGATCAGGAAGCCGCTCTCCACTTCCTTCCCTTCTCCGGTGAGTCCAAAACACACACACGCACACACACACACTAAAACACACTCTTTTACACAGAGTCAGACGGAAACCTCCCCAATTTCTCTCTCACTGAAAACACACTGAAACTCAGTCAGCATAAACCCCTCTCCCTCTCTCTCTCTTTTGTCCATATTTTCATCAGTATATAAGTAAAACAAAATAAATAAGTAAATAAGTAGATGAGTTGACGAATCGACAATGCGGAAATTCACTGGTTTCAATGGCGGCGGTGGATTGAGGAACGGCGGCGTTTCGTCGGATCACAACCACCACGTATCGATTGGGATTCGTTCTGGTGCTTTGCATAAGCAGCAATCCCGTTACGGTCACCATCTTCACCACCGTCGGTTAATAAAGGGTCGCAAGATCTCCATCGTCGGCGCCCTTATTGTCTTTCTCTTCGTTGCCTTCGTCGCCTCTATCTTCGCTTTCCTCTTCCTCTCTTCAAAAGATAAAGGTACATTTGCACATTCTAATTTTATCTCTACTTTTTTTTTTGGGGTTCTTTTTGAAACACAGTTTTTAAATTTTTGCTCGTGTTTTTTCTTTTTCTTAGTTTAGCAGAAGAGTTAGCTTTTTTCGGAACTAGAATATGCTGACAATGTGGAAATTGAATTCAATTTTGCAATTGTTTGTTTAAACTAGATTATGGTTGTTGATTTGATGCAAATTTGGAACGTTTTGACTTAGTTGGGAAAGCTTGCCGTTGTACTGCTGCTACTGCTACTGTGATTAGGAGAAGGGGGCACAAACGATTTTCCCTTCTCAAGGATTAGAGGAGGAGATTGGCAGTGAGATTAGAACGCCAAGTTGATTTTCAAGCTTTTGCAGTTTAGGTTAACTGAGGGTTTCAGTGTTTGATGCAAATGTTGGGGCTTGGCGACTTGGTGAACAGTATATGAAAATTGCTTTTGTTGATTGATTTTGTACTTGCATTGATTGATTCTTGAATGTTAGACTGATAACTGGTCCAGCCCTTTACTGATGAAATTAAAGTTTTAAATAATGAATGAGAATGGGATTTCACTGCAAAAAAAAAAAAGTGTACATATTATTGGAAGACACGAACAGAATTAAGTCTGTCATTGGTATCACTGTGACTGACATTGAAATTTGACAAATCAAGCACCAGACTTATGCCAGCATAGGGGATCACAGATTTGTCAGCCAAAATATGTTTCTTTCTCCCTGATGCTTTAGAGATACCATAATTGCTTAAGCTTGACTTCATTTACTAGAGATTCTTTTTATTATGTGTTAGTCACAAATCAGTGAATATATATTTGATAGTTTTAGAACTTGACTTCTAATACATGTTTCTGTTGTCTTGCTGCAGACACACATAGTAACTTAATACAGGATGATGACTTCGTAAATGATACAGATTTTCTTACAAATGTTACACGTACAAAGAAACATAATACCGTAAAATTTGGCCATGGGTCGGTTACACATGGTAAAGATTCGCGTTATTGGGATGGTGATGATCGGAGACGAGATGAAGATTATCATGAGGAGGCTAGGGATCATTCTGTAAATAAGGATCATGTTCCTGAGAAGGGTAAAAACAGTGGTAGGAAATCGTCCAGTGATGAATCTCATAAAGGCTTGGGTCATAGAGGGAATGGATTATATAATGAGGCAGGGCGTAATGAATTAAAAATGTATGAAGCTGAATATGAGGCATCTTTGAAGAACATTGGGCAGTCAAAAGAACATGATGGTGGAAATCAGCTATCTCATGATCGTACTAGTAGTGGAAATGAGACTGAGATGGTGGATCCTGATGATGAGTATGATGATGGTATTGACTTACAGGATGGTAGGAAGGAAGACGATGGTGAAATGGAACAGGATGATGGGGACCATTCTGGTGCAACTGCATCATATGATCTAGATGGTGGAGAGTCTGCTAATTTACATAAAGCCCAAACCAAGCATCAAAATATTGTTCACGAGGTTGATGAAGCTTCCACTGATTTATCTGACAAGGAGTCAGCTTCCAGCTCAGAACATTCTGGCAAAGTTCCTGGTAATTCAAGACATGCACGTCCTATTGATAGTCAATATTCTAGAAGGTCTGCTACTGAAAAACGGTCTGGTTCCAAAAAGAAGTCAAAACGCCGTAAATTTTCTGGTCAGTCTCTGCTATTTCTACTACGTGTGTCTTTAAATGTTATAGCTTTTGAGTGATTGCTGATGTAGTGACATGGTCATGTGGATGAGTCCTGGACAAGCCGTGGTGCTTCACCACTCTTCTTTGTATGTGAAAACCAATCATGGTGTTTGGGTTTGTTGACATGAACGTTGAAATTCTTTTTATTCTTTTTTATTTTCTTGTTTTGGGAAAAGGTGGTAAGAATATGAAATGATTACCACACACTTGTACTAATGTGTTACGTGGTTATCTGATGCTGCACTTAATATTGGAGCTCATAATGGCTAGGTTGTGCTTGGTACTGAATCAACTATTGGGTTGACAATAATGGGCTGCAATCTCAAGTGAAGAACCTTTAATTTTGTATCTAAGACACTTTTTTAGCTTGAAGCATTTCTATTATTTTATCCTATACTTCTTGTTGCTACATGGATCCATAATTGATTTTAGCATTAATTGTTTGTGCGTGTTATGACATAGTGTGTTTAGGTTAATATGCATTCACTCACATGTTGATATAGACAAGACAAAAAAGTAAGGGATAGTTGCTTGTGATTGGTGTAGGCAGTTTATGTGGTTTATTTGTAGTTTAAATTTCCATCATATTCACCTGAATGTGAACATTCATTTGGCCAACTTTTACTATATGCTTTCAGGTTCTTGCGAGATGAAACTTCTAAACTCTACTGCACTGCTTGTAGAACCTTTAGAAAGCCGAAAATTTGCAAGGTTTTCCTTGCAGTATACAGAAGCAGAAGAAAAACCCGATGATGATGAAGAGTGGCAACCTAGATATGCTGGGCATCAGAGTCTAAGAGAAAGGGAAGAATCTTTTATTGCACATGATCAGAAAATAAACTGTGGCTTTGTAAAAGGTTCTAGTGGATATCCTAGTACAGGATTCGACCTGGCAGAAGATGATGCTAAATATATAAGCAGTTGTCACATTGCTGTGGTGTCTTGCATTTTTGGAAATTCAGATCGGTTGAGAATACCTGTTGGAAAAATGGTGAGATGTGTTTCACTTTTCCAATATTCTTGGTAAAACTTCTGCATCCTTTAGCTGTTATAGTCTTTAGAAACAGTAATCTGGAGGAATAATATAAGAACATCCTTTACTGCAGCTTTATGAAGGGCTGACAGTTTACAGTAAAGTGTTAACCTCATAGCTTACTGATGGTTCTATTAATTCCTTTCCCTTCTCCTACCCTCCTATTGCCTTAAATTCTGCCAATCCCTTTTCTTTTAATATCTATCTATGTATAAAGCATGAGGCATATCAAGTGTATCAAGTATCTAAAATTCTTCTCAAAATTTGTTTCAAGTTTTAAAGGTTTTGTAATTTGATTTGCATATGGAATTTCTTGGAAATTGTATTCCTCACAATAAATTGGAAGTTTTAATATGAAAATAGCTTTCACTTTGGGGTGAAAATTTGCTTCTAAATGGAAAGCACCCTTATTGCCCCCTTGGTCAACTCTTGTTAACTAATAAAACATGTATTATGTACAAAGGCAATTGACCATGAATGCTTTGGGTTACCATGACACTTCGGTCATGAGGCTGTAGAGAGTGGTTGGTTGCTTGAACATGATAAACACGTGAATGTGAGATGTACTGATTCTTTGCAATGTTTAATGAATTTTACCTGCCTTTGCTCAATTTTGAGCTTCTTCTCTCCTCAGTCGACGGTTTTTCCATCTCCAAAGATATTTTTTCATGTCCTTTCCTCTTTGTCTGTCCGTCTGTCCTCTTTCTATGCATTTTTGTAGGTAATAGTTTCTACTTATTCCCAGACTTTCTTGCCCAGCATATGCCTATGTTGTGCTCAACATGTTAAGCAGAAGAGGCAGAGTGCGGCTTCTGTTCCTTCTTCGGTTGAAGAGCATGCCCTTTTCTTTTGTCTTAGTTGTCATGGACATTGTGAATGGGATATCCTGAAAGAATGCTAAATTAAAATATCTTTGTTTCCAATTACAGAATGTTACTTGGATGCAGATCCTATTTGTGTACACATTCGACTCATTCCTTATGATCAGGAGATTAAATTGCTTATTTCTTTTCTTTACTTTTCCTTTATCTGGTCAGTAAATAAGTTTCGTTCAAATGATTTATTATGGTGATGAATATGATATTATCTTCACTTACATTCATCCATCCTCTTTCTTTCCTCTTGCAGGTCTCTCGTTTATCCAGAAAAAATGTTTGCTTTGTTATGTTTGTTGATGAAGCTACTTTACAAGCTCTTTCTTCGGAGGGCCATATGCTAGACAGAATGGGCTTCATTGGACTGTGGAAAGTTGTAGTAGTGAAGAATCTGCCTTACACTGACATGCGGAGAGTAGGAAAGGTTCCAAAATTGTTGTCACACCGACTTTTTCCTTCAGCTAGGTAAGAGAGTAGTTATTCAGTGACCTTTAAATTGATTCTGAGGTTAACCATGTAACTCCTTGTTTTACTTCTATTTTTACTAGCGGCTTCATGGATATGATGGAAGACATTTTTCTTATGTATAATGGCCCAGGTTTCTTTATGCTATCATTAAATGTTTACTGTAGCTGTATATGGTTAGAGGTGTCACTGTCATTTGACTTGTATCTTTTTCCTCTTTCTATGTTGTTCTTTTCACTATTGCCATTTCAACCTGTAGTTTGAATGTTTTGTGAAGAATATTGGTTCAACCGATGGTGGCAAATGCTGAGACTATCTGACAGATTCCACATTGTACTTGTATGGTGAAACCTTAACGGTTAACTGGACCCCCCCCCCCCCCCAACCCACCAAACAACAAAACAACCAACAAAAAAAAAAAGACCCAAAAAAAGATTAAGATTTAGTTACACTGTTAGTTAGTGAACAGAATCCAGGTAAACTTTTGAAAGCTGCCCCATCGTGTTTGGCAGTTTTGTCCTGTTATATATATCAAAGTGTGTCAAGCCGTGGACTTAACTATCATGAGGTTTTAAACATCATATTCTTCTGAAGTCTAGAACCAAGGAGGAAGTCTTAATCTTCGCGTTAATCTTAATCTTCAGATCATGTCTTTCGCCAGATGTTTCAAGATATTGAAGTACTATGGTTGTTAATATTGTTGAATTCGAGTGGTGCTCATTGGTGATTCTTATTAGGGTTGCTGAATTCTATCTCTGGTGGTAAACAATATTATAATTTACCATCTAGAGATTGATTCAAATCAATTTGACCGATTTGTGTGGTGTCGCTTTTTTTTTTTAATCACCAATATTCTTTTCACCTGTACTTTTCACATATTCTTTGTGTATCTTGGTGATGAGGTGCTTGATCGTAGTTAGTCAGTGGCCAAGCAGGAACAATGGTAAATTTAGAATTCAGAAAAAGGGCATTCAAGTTGATGAATTGCTGTAGTGATTCTATTTGAGAGCCTTTCCTGCTCAGTCACTTGTTCCTGTGTGCTGGGTTTCCTTCTGTTCACAAGTGCTGCAATAAATGTCAATCATACCAAATTGTGTCCATACAAGGTGCAGTTGGACAGAAGAAACAACCTCTTTTTTGCTGTCCTATAAGACATAGCTTGACAATCCAGAATTCACTTTTATTTTATTCAAAGTTGGATTATGCATTTCAAATGATCTTTTTGGATGGTTAAATGCTGCTGCTTATGTTGTGTTCAGGTATTCAATCTGGTTAGACAGCAAGCTACGTCTACAGCTTGATCCACTGCTTATCTTGGAATATTTCCTCTGGCGGAAAGGTCATGAATATGCTATTTCTAATCACTATGATCGCCACTGTGTGTGGGAGGAAGTTGCTCAAAATAAGAAGCTTAACAAGTACAATCATACTGTCATAGATGAACAATTTCAATTTTACCAAAATGATGGGCTAAAACGATTTAATGCATCAGATCCTAACAAACTTCTTCCTAGCAGTAAGATTCTGTTTCTTGTCTGCTTCTGAAATCTTTCAGCTTCAGCTTCTGGTATGATCTTAATAGCATGTTTTCTGGGTTATTGACAGATGTACCTGAAGGGTCCTTCATTGTACGAGCTCACACACCTATGTCAAACCTGTTTTCTTGTCTTTGGTTTAATGAGGTTGATCGATTTACTCCTCGTGATCAGCTGAGTTTCGCATACACGTATCATAAGTTGAGGAGGACAAACCCAGAAAAACCATTTTATCTAAATATGTTTAAGGTGAGCAGTCCTGGAAATTGCATACAAAGTCTGAGCAAGAGATTGACAACTTGCTTCTAGTTTTGTTTCTTCTTCTTATAAGCCATTTAAAACTGTTGTTGCCTGTCTTGCAGGACTGTGAGAGGCGAAAGATGGCCAAGTTGTTTCGTCACAGGTCAGAGGAGAGGAAAACCGTACAACATGATATAGAGTAGTTCTGGATGGAACTTTACCTGGGAAGGGTGATTCATTCTTTTGTATGTTTACATCATTACAACTGGATTCATTGGTTCAATTCTTCCGGCCCATTTGTTGTAAAGTGATGATTAATCAATCTGCTCAATTTGCTCCTGGTAGTCTGCCAAGTTGATGTATAAGAATTGGATGTTTGCACCTTGTGGACACGGCTCCAGGAAAGGCAGGTCAGTTTTCAAGACTCGTCTTTCAGCCGGAAATTCAAATAATAAAACAACTAAGAGCCTCCCTTTTGTCTATTTCATTCATTGGCTTGTATCATAGCACCATGGACCATCCAATACCTTTTGTAACAATATTTTTTTATTATAATTTCTCGTACGAAATATATACCTAGCCAAATGTGCCTCTTTTATGGGGTTCATGAATTTTGTCGAGTCATTTACGTCTGTAAAATGTATTAAGAGTTTAATTCAAATTTGAGCAGTTTTAGTAGTCTTCATATCTGAACATTGTACTTTTCTCATGTCCTTTTCTCAATTTGAGGTTATAATACTTTTTGATATAGAGTTTATATCCACTGGATTTACTGGTATTGATCTGTTTTTATTGTGGACGGGATGTAAAAGTTGATATGAGAGATGTTGTTTGTTCAATTTTCTCTATTAGAAGTTAATAGATTTGAATGTGAAAATATGGAGTTTAGCTAGACAAGAAAAGCTGTCTACCCTCCTTGCATAAGGCACGCTTGGGAGAAGTAGAATTACATATGGGGCAATGCATGCCTAGAGAAAAGAACAAAAGAATATTAACAATCATATGGCAAATTCTGGACAAGCATGTCTGATGTTTGTATTCCTTGGAAACTTTTAAAAGTAGTATTGCATGCTGCAGGTGATTGGGCTATACCCTTCTGTATGTATTCTTGTGTGAATAGTAAGAATGAAATTGACATTTCATTTATCAAGATGATTCTCTTTTCCTTAATTTTGTGATGAATCCTGATTCATTTTTCAAGTTTTATGGTTGTTTTGAATTTCAACATCCTGAAAGTACTTTCGAGAGCTAATGCTTGTGGCTAGTGGATCAGTAAGTATGTTTTCTTGGAAAAGGTTTTGTATAAGGGAAAGGTAAAATGATGGTGATGAGAATCAAACCTTTGTTACCTCTAGAGCAAAGCCCTTTATCCAATTGGTCACCATTTGATTCTCCAGTGAAGGTCATTTATGTGCTTTGTTAAGTTTTCTATCTTAAACCTTTCAACCAGCACTTTGAGATGGCTTATGACAATCACTTCTCTTCACTGTAATTGTCCTTCAATTCTGCCAAAGATCTGCACTTAAATTTAACTGGCTTACAGCAGAAAATGTTGTCTAGTGCTCTGCACCTGATTAATTGGAGTTAAGAGGATAAGCGTAAATCCACAAGTTAGGGTGGTGAGCCCATGTTATGTGTCCCATATATCTTCGCATTTAAAATTTGGTCTGGTGAATGGGTGCATAATGCTTTAAGATGGAAATTTATCTTAAAGCATGCTGATTTCTGTTTCAAGTTTTATCAGGAACTTTAGTGGTTATCTCAACATCTTGTGTAGGAGAAAGATATGAACATCTTTCAACTTGATCTATTTGGTACCTGAAAACATTTTACCTGATAAATTGAAGCTTTACATATTAGAATGGTTGATTTAATTTTTAGTTAGTAGATACTGACTGCATAGTGGTTCATCTTCAGTTGTGAACTGTGGGGCACCCTTTAATTTTGGGCAAATGCCCACTGCTGTAAACATACATGCTGCATGGTTGTGACTGAGAATTTTGTCGTTGAGACTGCTCCCCCAAAACGAGACATAGATACAGTAGCAAGATAAATAGCACGGAATATGGGATTACAGTTTTTTCCTTTTGGATTAAGATTTACATTTCAAGTTTCAAATGAATGCTTTTGCATATCGTACAAATCATAGTACTTGAACTGATTTAGGATTACAGGGGTTCAAGGCACCAATAGCATCAGATTCAGAGTCTCACTGCTGCTACACCAAATTCAATAGATACAAACTGCACTAATTTAAGTTTTGCTGCATGGGAGTAATCTGCTGCAGCAACTTGTTTCTTCCTCTAAGAACCTCTTCGAAAACTTTGGTGACTTCCAATTCAAATACCTCGAGACTAACCTTCACAGCAGCCGATTTCTCTTGGATTGATGCTTTGGTTCTTTTTAACTTATCTATATCTGTTGCAATTTGCTTTTCAGTCTGAGATTTTGTCTCTGTTATCTCCTGTTCAATCATTTCATGCCCAAGAAATGCTACAAAAAGATTGTCAACATGGATGTTGGATTTGTTGTTAAAACATTTTGCAAGCTCTTGGACTGAATCTACAAATAATTTCATCTGAGGAAGTTCACAATGAATTTCCTTTTCAAGTTCTACTGGAATTGGACAGAAAATTATACAGAAAAGGATTGAGGATATAATGGTCATGGCACCTGTGATTGCTCATATAATATTTGTGGTACTATTCTTGCTGTTAATTTTGTTCATTGGAATTTCAGTAGTATCTTCATTTTTCCACTTCAAAGAACCATTTAGTGTCCCGCACAGCCAGTACCTGAATATTAGCCAAAGACTCGCCTTGAGACATACTTCTGGAAGCAACATCAATCTTGAGAAGGTTTCTATTCATCTCATTAATTGCAGATGTGAGCAAATTGCAAAGCTCCAAGATGCGTAAACTCTTATTCATGTATTCATCCACCAACTTGCTTATGCCATTCCATGTGCTCGTCGGTACTTGCAAGCTCTAAAGTAACAGAAGAAACTCAGCATGCATTTTCTTTAGCAGAATCACAGCTTCTGTGCACCTTTCTGAATGTCATGCGCCAACGAAGCAAACAATGGCGCAACATTGTTCTTAGTGATGGTGTACGGGCTATCTTCAAGCTGAAATGGAGCAAGACAGGTGATGAAATACGCCTTACCCATTTGCTTTCTATACTTAGCTAGAAACCCTTAACCAAAGAATTATAATCTTAGAAAGACAACCGTGCCATTTACAGAAGATCATTAGCAGCATCTTCAAACAAATAGCTTGGAGTTATGGTTAAAGAATTATATTAGGATATTGGAGGAAGCCATTCGCTAGTGTTGAAGGATCTCTACCTTGTTATACAATACTATGAAATCTATTCCTATTTGTGTAAAAGAATGTTTGTAGCACAAGTAAACTAACAGTTTTAACGAACCACCCTAAATCAATTTTATTGCAAACGTGAAGATAAAGTCACGCAAATACTTTTCCTGTTGAAGCATAATGTCTGCTTTTCGGTAGGAATGGAAAGCATGATTGTTCAGAATGATTATAATAGTATTTTGAAAATGATAGGACTCCCCAAATACTAGCCGTGGAAGAAAGGAACCCCGTGAAGGCAACAAACTATGCATTAGTCTATTCTTAATCCATTGCTACAAGCTTAAGATTCTAACTTGTACTCTTCTTTGATCAAACAAAGCAAAGACGGTCAGCTTTATTATGTAGAGGGAAGAAAATCAAAGTAAAGCTGTTTTCCGTATGTTGCTCCTTATTTTCTAATAAGGTGTAACAAAATGATTCTAGAATTAACTTGTGCATGATGGGTCTATAGAATAATTCAAGTTTTGCTTGTTTTGCCACTCAAAAACAAGGTTGAATTTTATAAGTGCATATGAGATTGGGTAAAATATTTGCAGATTCTTTATTATCAAGCGGGTATTGTGCAGTTAGTTCAACTTAACCATTAATCTTTATTCTATGATTTTATTCAGCAGTTTTATATTGAATTAACGATATCAGTGCCATAATCTCTCTCTAAAATATTGTACCTTACACAAAAATTGGCGGAGCCGGGGTCCAAATATGCTTGGTTAGCCTACATCAATTTAGGCCTATAGCTTCTTATGTGTTTATAGAGGTGGTCATGGTTCAGATTTGAATTGGAACTGAATAGCAATTAGATCGACGGTTTGTTGAATTGGAATTGAAACCGGATTTTGAAAACCTAAATTGGAACCATAATCGTGACTAAAGGTTCGGGTATAGATTCACCAAAATTTTGAACCGGACCGGAATTGGTGATTTACGACCCGTTCAAACCATCTAAAGAAAATATTTACTATTTAAACATATTTGGCTAGTTTAGAATTCAATATCAATAGTTAGAATCTAATACTAGCAGTTCTAATTCAAATCCAACAACCTATTGCCCCATTCTATGAGTAAGTCTATACCCCATGACTAATCTAAATTCAAAATCAATCTAATCTAATCAACAATGAGATTTTTTTCATAAAATTTGCATAATTTTTTCTTTTTTCTTGCATATGATAATACAAAAAGTTTTTTTTTAACATTCATTGTCATATTTTCTTAAAATCAATTTTATAACAAGTATTTAAACATAACTAAAAGAACATAACAGTAATCAGAAGAAATCGAAATTGTAACTAGAATTGAATGTTCAACAATTGTAATCGTAACTCTCCCTATAAGGACCAGTTTAGGTTCCACTTTTTAGAAAAATTAGAATCGTCGATTTTTAAATTGGAATCGTGGCCATGTCTATGTGTTTCTATTCACCCCATGCTTTTGTTTCTAGAATTGAAGAGATGGTATGGTAAGGACAAAATATTGAATTATGTTTTAAATTTTGTATGTTGATAAGAAAGAGTTCCACTTTATTTACACACTATTTGACAACAAATGAATAATTATTCACACACATTCTTATTAGCCAACCCCAAGCTCCGATTACAAAATGGGCTGAGATTCAGAAGTGTATTGAGGAATCCAACGTTTTTTGGGCCCAACTTTAGGCTTGTTGATCGAGTCTACTTCATGAATGGAGGCCTTGAAAAAAAAGATATGAGTTGTCATGGGTACAAACTACTCTAATCAAATTCAATACTTTAATGCTTAAACTTGTTTGTTTATTTTCGGTAAACTTTCAAAATTGGCTAGTTTCTTTATCAAGGAGGTGAAATGAGCATTTATCGAGTTGAGTTCGAGTATTCTAAATTTTGGACATGTAAATTTAAAAAATTATGCTAATTGACAAAAGTTCTAGTTATGATCACTTGGTACGAGTGTCAAAACTAAAATACTAGTAGAATGTTAAGATTTTGTAGTGAAGGAAACCTAGGTTGATCCTATAAGGAATAGTTGTAACACTTAATTTCCTATGTTGAAGTGGCAAAGGATAAATTTTGATGATATAAAAATAGTAAAGAAATAGCAATAATAAAAACAAGGATTAAACCACTAGGAAGGGTGTGGTTGTTAGGGATGAGAAGGTTGTGGAAAGGAGCAGGAAGAGTGTGGGGAGGGGTGAGAGATTAAAAGAACTAAACCAGTAGTAAAAGAGCGAATCCAAGGACAAGAAGTTTTATATTGCAATTGATCATCAATAGTTAAAGATTCAATATATGATCAACTATATGGCCTAGGCTCCTCTAGATACCAGAAAAATTCACAGTTTCTCTAATTTCAATGATTAAAATAATGACCCAATTTTATTTTTGTCAATAAACAAATCAAGTATTGACATAATTCAATTAATGTAATGGTAGATTTAAGAACCAAAAATCAACCAAAGATAACAATAATTTGTGGTGCCCAAATTATTAAATCAACACCATTGCCCCCTAAGATATCACAAAAGGATACAATATGTTATTAGCATTAGTTGCGACAGTGACTCCAATTTAAGACAAGTACAGATCAAAAATAAAATCAGTACTTTAATGTGAAAATACATATAAAGAAAAAAAATGTACTACTTAGTTCATCATATATGCATCAACAATAGCAGTTAAATCAAGGAGACATAAATAGTTAATAGAAAGATTGAAAATATCAAATCCGATTTCACAATTAATGGAACTAGGACTTCAATCCTTGGGTTGAATATCAAATTAACTACACATAATTGAGAGTTTCTTCCTCAATAATAATCTCCAAGAATAATTGAGAAAATGTGAGACATTTATAGCTAAAACACAAATTCTTCATTTTGATAAACTCCTCTAATCTATTCCTAAGAATGTAAAGCTACGAGAAATGTAGAAATCTCCATCTTTTGTCTCTTCAAAAGTTGTTTGTACGTAGGTCTCCTTATATAGATACTAGAGAGTCATAGGGTTTGAGTTGGAGGAGAACAAGTAACTTAATATAAAAGAAAACGTGTTTCCCATAGATGTCTAGCTCCAAGTTTAGCTTCATACCCAGTGCTTATTGTCTACTGCTTCTTTAAACTTTGAATTTTCTCCTAATTTCAGCTCCATTTTGGTTCTTTCTTCCAATTGTATTCAACCCTATTCAATCACAAAAAATATCTTAAATAGTACTTTTTATAGAAAAAAAATTTTTATAGCGAAAATTAATTAGAACTAGACGGTAAATGTTTATGACTATTTGACTGTTGTTCATGACTATTTGATTAGTTGATGAAGCAAAGATTAAACAAATTTTAACCAAACCGAGCTCAATTTGAATATCACTTTTTAGCCCTATGAGCTCTATAACGTTAGCTTCTAAATTAAACAAATTCAGATTAGATCATTCACATGAGGACATAATCGATAAAATTCTTTTCTTCAACCTTCAATATATTGTACATTTTCTCAACTAATATGTCCTTAATTTTGATACTATTCAAGTGGTTAATATGGTTAGAGGAAGAAGTGTTGAGAATTTGAAGTTCCAAAACTCCATTTGTTTAATTTTTTATTTTTTGTTTTTGTACAAAAAAAAATTAGAACAAAATGTTATCCTACTCCAAAGGCTGGAAGGTCACTGTGAGAACCCGTAAAACCCTAATATTTTTTTCCGAGGGTTTATTTCCCCTTAATTGCATGTTTTCTGCATTTTCTGGCTTAGGAATATTTTCTTGATGGATTTTATGAGCAATTAGAGTTGTAAGATGATTTTTCTAGTATTGGAGTAGTTTTAGAACAGTAAGAATACATATTGGACGTGGGACCCACGAGTGCGAAAAGTTCGGGAAAATTCGGCCAATACGGTTAAGTTTCGGATACTGTGGAAAATTTGTCGGGTGTTAAGAGATAAGTAGTGTGTGTGAAGTGATTGATGTGAGAGAGAAAAGAATGATAAGAATGCATTTAATGAGGTGCCATGTGTCATGTTCCCATTGGGTGGACTTTATGGTTTACTATTCTATTTTTTGACCTTTTGACCACTTGTTTAAATATCTTAAAAATTGAACAAAACTTACCATTTCTTGCTCCTTGATGGCCGAACCTCTCATCCAAGAAGAAAGAAAAACTCTTCCAAGTTTAAGCTTCCAACAAGCTCAAATCACCCAACTCAAGTGCTTAAACTAGAATCTACTCCATAAAATTCCTTCCTTTGGTGCTCTTGAGTGCTTAGTGAAGTTTTTTTTGGAGAGCTAAGGTGTCCACACTCCCTATCTCTCTTGATTACTTGGTAAGTGATGCTTGAACCTCTACTACACCTAATGATGGTTATCTTATGCTTAGAAGTGGCTTGAGTGTTGGAATATATGATTTATTTCTTGGTTTGGCTTGATTTGGTGAAGTTTTCCATTTTATGAGGAATTTTCTGGTTGCATATGATCTTGATGGTGTGGTTGTTTTTGATGGTTGGTAATAAGGGGCTTTGACTCTAGTAGGTGTGACTAGTTGATAATTGCAATCAATTTTGGATTTGGAAGAATTTCTGGAAAATTAGGGTTCTTGAAGCTACATTCTGTCCGAAATTTTAGGTCATAGCTAGAGGCCGAATTGGACTTTGATCAAAACATGAAAGTTGTAGGTATTGGTGAGTATGAAGTGCCTACAAAATTTCAGGGAATTTGGAGTAGTATAGAGAGAGTTATGCCGTTTTTACTGTTGCTGTTTTTGGTGAACAGAATGTGCGGAACTGCGATAGTAATTGCCTATTTTGACTGGATTTGGTTTGGATTTTGAAGTTGGTGTCTTCTGATGAAATGTTACTGGATGTCTTAGCTATCATATTCCTTTGGAATTTCGGCATTTGGACTTGTATAGACTGAGTTATAGTAATTACAGTTTTGTGTGATTTGCAAACCTGTTTTGGGAATTCTGGTATAGTATTTTGCATTTTTGACCTAGTTGTGCTAGGATTTGGATTGAGTGACCTTCTGTGATGTTGTAGCCCTATCTTTTAGCTTCGAAATGGTGGGTCT